GGGTTGCAGTCCTACCATTAACGCGCACTTCACCATCACCAAGCAGAAGATATCGTGTAGCGTTATATTCCAAGGTGACTTCTTGAGTGTAAGACACAACGTCTGTTGGCTGTCTTTTCATATTCTTTGCTGTGATGTTGAATGACGGCAGGCTGGAAGAGTATTGACAATCTCTCACCAGCGTGTACTCACAGTCTCCTTGGAAGTCATACCGTCGGCCATCAAACGTGATGTAATGAGGATCTCCCCAAGCGATGCATTTCCCTTGAGAAGTGCATGGCCCTGTGAAATCACAGAACAATACAAATTGATTATGTATCAACTGATTTTTTTCTTTTGTTTTTATTAGAAATGAAACAAAACGACTCCCTCCTGGCTAAAAAGAAGACATCAAATTAAGACAAAAATATGTTCGGTAATACGCATTCTAGTGTTGTATCTGCACTCTCTTTGTCAAATGTGCTGCTGTGTGATGTCTACATTGTTCGTGTACAATAACAGAAAAAAAATTCTCATCAAGGGTTACAACATGTAATTACGTAGGCCTACTTTAAATGACAAGATCGTCACCTTGGCAAAATTTCCAGCTATATACCTGACACTGCAATAAGTTCTGAATAAACATAAAACCTGGTTTATATCACTGGCAGATATAAATGTTTGCTTTTAAACTCGACATCTTTTTCGGTCAGGAAGATCCTTAAAAGCAGTAGCTCTTGGTCCCACAACTCTAATGCTTTCGATTTTTTTTTCATCACAAACTGGGGGATTCCTCTCCCACGGGACTTGGTTGTTTCATAATAAATCTTTCCAAACATTGAAAAACACTTTTTATCAGTTGAAATTTGAATTTTCATCTCAGTCTCACCCATGGGTTTTGTTACTGTCTTTGAACCGATGCAATCCGACGTGACATCACCCCTACATCAAGCAAGTCGGTAAATACTACACAATTGGGCTGTATCGGACAATTTGCCACAGTCCGAGAACATGAAGTCCGATTTCCACAAAAGTGGTGTCAAAATGACCACAAGATTTTACTTTCAAAGATTCCGAAGGCTCGGCGAGTCAAAACATGAACCGCTACGATACTGGAAAACAACAAGGTGAATGGTCCTCTAATGTTCTGTTTCGCTGCACTTAGCTGTATACGCCGTGGGTCGAAACCACGATGTCCCTGAGCTGGGATTCACAGGGTGGTGCCTTTACAGCCGTATATCGGTTTTAGTGGTACCCGGTTGTTTAAGCAACACATGCAGGGGGTTATCCACACAGGATAAGAGAGAGTGTGCCCACAGCGAGGGTCCCTGCAGAATGGAGTCATCCGTGCAGGACAAGGGCCACCTCGGATGACGTCCACAGAAGGATAATGTCCACACAGGACGTTGGTGTCCACGCAGGCCAGTGTCCACTCAGGGAATAGCTATGGAAGCTCCCTCAGTCTAACTACTTTAGCTAGGTATCCCATTTTGTTGCCACATAGACTGCACAGTTATGAGCTGAGAACACTCACATGCTGGCCACTACCAGGGAACCCTTTCATTTAAATACAAATAATTTTTTTAAGTACATGTACAGCTCTTCCATAAAACAAATAATATGGTAGCTTTCCCTGAAAACGTTACATTTAAGTGAAAGTAAACATACACTGTACATTACTCTGGCCCTATGTTGAAGGGGCTCACGTTGTTAACCTCCTCGTGGTGGGCCATGGAACTGTTTTGGAACTCGATTACAGGCCACTAACAACCTGAGACAACATCAACTTCGACATACGTACTATTCCTTGGGATGGACACTCAACAATTACAACCGGAGACCAACCCGGAACACATGCCCTCTTTAGGGCAGGCATCACCTGACATCATGCGGGAAGGTATCTCAGTACTGCATCTTAACGTAGGTCTCACTAAAGCCAAGATCAACATCCTTGATCATCTCCTTCAGATACAGAGGTTCTGAGCAGTTCTCCTACAGGAAACGCATGTCTGTGATCGTTCTCGTCTTAAGATTGCTACATTTGTTAGAAATTCCGCCAGATAGAGGGCTTTGGCTTCCAGTCCTCCAGAATTCCCTTTGGGGTGGTCAGCAACCATGTCGAAGGTATTAGCATTGTTTACATCTATAAGCGTCCTTCATTTCGACGACAGGATGTCTAACTGCCTATCTTTATGCATCTATGCTTGTGATTTCAACTGCAACAGTATCGCGTGGGGTTACAGGGCAACAGACCCAGATGGCACTGCACTAGAGGACTGGGCATCTCCAGCTGGTGTTCAATTTCTGTATGACCCCAAGCAGCCCGATAGCTACCACTCAGGTAGGTGGAATACTACAAATCCCGACCTTGCTTTCACCAAAATGAGAGGACCTGAACCACACTGTGTGGTCCTGAATCCTTTCCCCAAATCTCAACACAGGCCATCTCTCATCATTCCAGAAAATCACATAGAATTAGTCTCCATCAAGCCTGTGCAGCGATGGAACTTCTGTAAAGCTGACTGGGAGAAGTTTTCAAACCTAGCAGACACTGACGCACACCATCGACTAAGCATAACATGGACCGAGCATACTTACAGTTCTGCAACCTCCTCATTAGAGCAGATAAGAATTCGATCCCACGTGACTATTACCAACGTTACATCCCTACCTGGGATAAGGAATATTACAACATCTATGACGAGTTCTTCCACGCAGATCCTGGGGAGGAGTCATCAACAAAACCCTCTGACCCGACCAGATGTCTCTAAATGAAGCGCCGGGAGCTATGGGAGGAAACAGGGAGTTATGGGAGGAAACAGTTCATGGAGTAGGCTTCACATACTCCAGTAGGATTGCCTAAAAAACTTTCAACAACCTCACTGGTAGAAGTTCCAAAGC